GAAATTGCTTCGGCATATGTCTGAGATTTTGCTGCCTGTGGATTTCTCTAGTATTTTTATGGTTTCCCATCTTATATTTAAGTCCTTTATCCATTTTGAGTTTATTTTTGTGTATGGTGTAAGTTGGTGGTCTAGTTTCATTTTTTTGCATGTATCTGTCCAATTTTCCCAACACCACTTATTGAAGGGACTGTCTTGACTCCATTGTATGTTCTTGCCTCCTTTGTCAAATATTAATTAAGCATAGTGGTTTGGGTCGATTTCTGGGTTCTCTATTCTATTCCATTGATCTATATATCTGTTCTTCTGCCAGTACCAGGCTGTTTTGAGAACAGTGGCTTTGTAATACAGCTTGATATCTGGTATTGAGATCCCACCTACTTTGTTCTTCTTTCTCAGGGTTGCTGTAGCTATTCGGGGTCTTTTTTTTTTTCAGATGAATTTTTGGAAAGTTCATTCTAGGTCTGTGAAATATGCCGTTGGTATTTTAGAAAATGAGTTGATTTTAAAGTTAAAGGTGGAAAAGGTATGTGCAACAACACGTGTAACTGGCAGAGAGTTTGTGTCAAGATTTAAAGAAGTTTTACAAGTTAATATAAAAACTCAATAGAAACATGAGCAAGGAGATTAAAGGACACTGCATAACAGAGGATATTCAATGGACAATAAGTTTATGAAAGATGGTCAACTTTTTATTCTTGGAGACTCAGGGGAGGAAAAGAGGTGGAGGGCGGCCGAGGGATAGTGGAAGACTATATGCTGTGAAAAAAAAAAAATCTCTCAGGTAATTCAGATCTTACCACTAGGGGGAGGTCTTTCACTTCACTTTAATTTGCAACGTCCTGGTTTATATACTACTCTCCAGAATGGTTAAAATTAAAAGACTGACAATGCCAAGTTGGCAAAAATGTGGGGCAATGGGTACTCTCATAAACTTCTGGTGAGAGCACAAGTTGATACAATACTGAAAAACTGTTCAGCATTGTCTGTAGGCAGAGATGAGACCTGCCATGGGAAGGCCTTCTGGGGCTGGAAATGTTATATTTCTTGACCCAGGGTGCTTAATGTTTACTTTTGATAACTTATCTTTAATTTAAGCACTTAAAATCCACAGAACACTTCAGTTGTAAAGTAAAAAATAAATAAGGTTAAAGGTGGAAAGGTAAAATGGGATTCCTAACCAGGAGAATATAGGCAAAAGTATGGAGAGAAGATAGAAACTCAGGAAAGGAGAAAAGCAGGTATGGGCTGCAAATATCTCCACATATTTCAGATTCTTCCCCCAGGGGTCTGCCTCTCCTTCTTCGCCCTGAGAATTCTTGCCCCCATACACAC